TGATCTCTCTCTCTCTCTCTCTCTCTCTCTCTCTCTCTCTCTCAAGAGCACAGAGGTTGATTCCTAATGAATTTCTCTCTCCTCACTCGGTTTTCCTCTCTCTCCAAAAGGGGAATGGAGAAAGAAATCAAACCTGAGCCTCTCCTAGGGCATCGAGAAGGCCAATAAGGTCCCCAACAATGTGGAAAACCGTGTAAGAGGTGTAGGGCAGAGGCGGGGCTTCGGTGTCGCCATAGCCTCTAAGGTCAGGAGCCACCGCTCTGTACCCATGCCTCGCCATGAACTCCATCTGGTGCCGCCATGAAAACCAGAGCTCAGGAAAGCCATGAAGAAACAGAACCAGTGGCCCACTCCCTTGCTCCGCCACGTGCATCTCTATCCCATTCGTCTTAACGCTCCTGTGCACCACCTCCATCCCCGCCATCTTTCTCTCTCTTCTCTCTCTTCTCTCCCCCTCTCCCTCGCCCTCTCCCTCGCTTGCAACTGAATGTGACAACGTGTTTCTTGCGTTGTGCAATAACTCATCTCTCTCTTGCAACTGAGTGTGACGACGCGTTTGCTTTGTGCAATAATTCATATGGTGTGACAACGTGTTTCGCCCTTTGTGCAATAACTCATCTCTCGGTTGCAACTGAGTGTGACAACGCGTTTCTCGCTTTGTGCAATAATTCATATGGTTTGGGCATACGAGAAGACAAGAAAACCTCATATTCATGGGAAGTGGAGGACATTTTTTCACTCTGGAGGCCAAAGTGAAGCGACTCGTGTAGCCACCCTATGAGAACTTGTATGAGCATTTTATATAGTGAAACATAAACTCTGTGAGAGTTATGGTCCTCGTATAGACCATACCAGGTAAATGTGATTTGTCGATATTCGGATTAAGCTCAACATGCTAAGCCAGGCGAGTTTATTTAGAAAAACCCAAGATACTTGAGCATAGGGATCTTTCGAGAATGGTTTGGTGAGTTAGCCCTGAGGTCGAAGTATGCGTAGATAAGCGCCCAGGGACTGTGTAGCCCTTGCATGTGATGAATAGCCTTTAGAGACATAGCTAAAAAAGTCATCATTATATTATAACATGATATGTACATAGATAACCCTATTGAGATTCACCAATGAGAGTGTAGCGTGTTTGAAATTCATAAACTATAATTGCATCACCTAATATATTAGCTAACTTTAATTGTTCAATCATGAGCCTTTGCAGTAGACTAAGGGGTCACCTAGTCTATTGGCTAACTTGAATGGTCTAGTCATGAGCATTTGCAATAGACTTAGGGTCATGATAACTGCTAGGTCAGTTTGAGAAAGCTAGGTGGATCATGGTCCACAATTGAAGATGGAGTGCTCCTGTATATTGATAAATTCATAGATCTAACGGATCTGATTCCCATCAAAATTAATTCGTTTTAATTAATTTTATGTTATATGATTATTTAGAATGTTTATTTAAATTTTTGTAAATCTTCTGATATTTTATCATTTGGATTTATAAATTAAAATAAATTAATTTTTTAATGTTTTAAATAAAAGATGAGATTTAAAAATTCTAAAATCAAAATAAAATATTTTTTAAAATTATGTGGACCCTCCATAAATATGGGCCCAATTTATCACATGTGGGAATTGGATGGGGCCCACGTATGGCCACCAAAGGGTGGCACGCTCCACCCATAGCGACAAAACTTGATTACCAAGTTTAGGATATAGTTATTCCGTATAGGTTGGTTTTTCTTTTTAGGATAAAGCCAACTTACATCGTAGACTTATATATTTGAAATATTTTGTAAATATTTGAATCAGTATGGCTTGATCCAAGAAATAACAGATATACTAAAATAAAAGTAATAGGTATACTTTTTTTTATTTAAAGATATGATGGGAATAGATTTAGAAGATTGAGGATAAGACTCTAGGATATCTCTTTGAATCTTGATAGTAGAACAAAAATATGAATGACTCGCATTTCTCATCCCACAATCAGCGGTCAATAAATCCTAAGGTATAGAAAAGAGGCTCTCCCACTTCATAGATCTCTACATGCATATTATCTCTTCTATTTGTAAGGGGATATCTCTCTCTACAAGATTTCTCCATAAGGTGGCACACACCACCCAAGGCTTCAATCTCTCTCTCCAAGGTTTAAGACGGGAACACGACCCAATCAGCATCGTCTCTCTTTTTCTTGCTTCTTGTTGGAACTCCCGAGGTTAGGGTGGTGGTGGTTTTTTATATTGGGTAGTAAAGGAGAGGATTCCCTTGTTAGTAGATTTCTTTTTCTCTCGTTAATTTTTGTCACTCATATCTCTAAAGATCAAGCCAAGGGGCTTGAGTAAAATTAAAGCATTGAGTTCTTAATTAGTTGGTTCTAAGTTGAGATCTATACCAAAGGGCTTGAGTTAAAGACTCAAGCACTGAGGCCTTACATATTTGGTTTGAGATTGAGATATATATGCCTAGATTGAGATTCATATGCCATTGAAATAGTTTTTGCCATAGAAATCATATATCCCGAGTACTATCGAAAAGATGAGACTCGGTGTGGGGTGTACTAAGCCCGATTGAGGTAATATTTTACAATTTTACTTCTTTAAATCTTTATTTATTATTTGCTATTCTCTTCCCATAAAGCAATAAGTATTGTTTTGATTGTTGAATAAAGACTTGTATTTGAAGAGGTAGCAATTGAGAATCGCTTTTTTATTTATTTCAAGAGTGGTTTGTTTATACTTGGGCACATTGTAAATTATCTTTGCTTGTTGATGTAGGAATAAAAAAAAAATTTAAATATATACACCGTGCTTGATCACATAGTCCAAGTTTCAACACAATCACAACAATATCGACCAAACTATAGCTTTCAAAAGAGGAATTTCTAGTAAACTATGAGGTCACTGTTAGAGTTATTGAGACAGTTATAACAATTTTTACTAAGTTACAAAGTCATCTGTAGAGGGCATTGAAACTTATTCTCCTTCCCATTAAGAAATTCAACCTTTCACATGCATCGAGTTATGGATTACCGGACTCTTGGGATTGTGGTTTGGAGCTGATTATTAGGCTATAGTTTGAATTTCCGCTCCGCTCAAACAATATGGCGTGTTTGATTTTTGGATGCGGTGGCATCTAGAACCATCTCTTTCAGCCATTGTAGCACTCCCATATTTGATAATAGGGGAAGTCTTATGCAAAATTTGGAATCAAAAGAGTTAAAACAGTGGTTTAAAAAAATAAGTCGGTGCCCCTGATCGGGTACCCAAAAACCCATCTTTTTAGGTGCATCGGTGATTCGGATCAGGTCGATTGAATCGGTCGGATTTAATCTTAAAAAAAATCTAAAAAGATTATTAAAATTTATTATAAATGTTGTTTTTTAGGAATCCAATAAGTAACGGGGGTACTCCATTAAGAATTTTCTTTTTTTTACATGAATATGTGAATATTGAGATGTTCTTTACCTCCATGAACTAATGTTTATCATTAAATTTACATAACACAAAAGTATAAGCATAGAATTATCATGGATGAAGTATATCATCATACATGGACTACAATAAAACATATAATTCGTAAAATAAAACCTAATAATGAAATGAAAGACGACGTCGTTCTTCTTTTTGGTCACGTTGGTACCAATGATTGAATTCGTGTGACAATTCATTACAAATTAATATATTGAGATTTATTCTAACTGATTTGGTATCTTTCCATGTTCTCCCGCTGTCTCTTTTCATTATCCACTACAATATGCATATGTTGAAGGGTTTAAACATATAGAGAGGAGTGAGGATCTTGAGAGAACTTTAGAGGAGAGATATAAGAGCGTCATATTTAGGAGGAGATTCGGAATTTTCATTGGGGACCTAAAATATTGGAGAGAGATTTTTGGATAGAAAATGCAAGATGATATAGGGAACAATGTGCTTGTCAATGGAGAGAAAATGCATAGCAGAACAATGTGCTTGTCAATGGACAAATGTGCGTGTGGGCATAAAAGAGAGAGAGAGAGATGTGAAACTTCAGGTGACAGTCTTTACTATTTTACATCTATGAGCTTCAATTGAAAAGCAGCACCCTGGTGGATGTAACAAAATTACCCATCCCAGCTTATTAACAATCCATAGCACATGAATACATACAATGGGAAGAGTTTAGCGATACTGCATATTGTGCCCTAAACTTGAAATTGTTACAATACAGTAAATTTACAGGGAAAATGCATGCACCTTCAGTAATTACTTCACTTCTGCTGAACGAACAGAATCCAATATAGTTGTAAAAACATTAAATATACATACATTTGATGCATCAACATACATTTTTTTGTCTTAAAAAATTTAGCAATAAAAATAAAAAATACAATTTATTTCTCATGATAATCAAAGCTTGGTCACGATTTTTCAGAAAATCACGTTTTTTCAATAAAAAATGATCATCAAATTTTCATTTTTTTTAAAAATACAGCCACAGCTTCATTTCTTAAAAAATCGAGCAATAAAAATTGCTTAATCCGATAAATTACACCCAAAATCATATGAAGAACAATATACCTTCAAAAACCTCAAAAATACTTCATAGTGGTGCTTCAATTCGTCCCAAATTTGTAGTTTGGCGTGAAAAAAAAACCCCTATCTGTTCTTGACAAAACCGTGACTCAAAATAAAAAATCCAGACTAAAAAAGAGAAAATAAGATACACATATTCATTAATAACATCATAAAGAACTAAAATCCCATGATATGAACAAAAAATTTGCTAAAAATAGATCAGAATCAATTAAATGGTGGAAAAGTACCTGTTTTCCTGAAACCGTGACTTCAAATCCAAACTTCATTTGTAATCGACCAAAATAAAAAAAATGGTGTACAATTTCTATTGAATACACACAATCACAAGTAATTACCTTCTGATTTCATAAAAAATAGTGGCCTATTTCTTCTATAATCCAATGAATGACGGAAAACCCTAAAAAACATGCGTTCTTGAGAAAACCCAAAATTTGTGATCCAAAATGGAGCTTGAACTCCATTATAATGGTGAAAAAATACGATAAACACATGAATTATTGATCAAAAAGCCTGAAAGATTCATCTTTACATGAATTATTGATAAAAAAAAATGTCAAGATTCAATGATTTCTCACGGGTCTTAATGTTCACCGAGTCGTAAACAGTACGTGAGCGTGTTATCTCTAAAAACTTGGCGAGTTTCTCTTGAAACAGGCATTTCAACGTCTTCATACTTGAACCGTTTTGGGGGGTCCAAAAATCGTGTCGAACCGGGCGATTCTGGTTCGACTTAGCGGTTTTTTAATCATCAGTTAAAAATAATGTTGAAAAGTGGATATTAGGGGTTTTATAAACCCATTGATATCCACGTTTTTTGAAGACGTAGTTTCCAAAGTCACGTCTTTCAAAATTCAAGTGCGCCACAGTTTTAGTGTCTCTTTGGGTGTTGCCATCAGTACTGTATGTCTTAATTTATAAGATGCACTTTATTAAATGGATCCGGTTTCTATGCAGTCAAGCTTACATATGTAGAAATGTGGGTCTATTAATAAATCTATTTTTGAGATGTATTTTTTAACTTAATTTTTAAAGACATCTCTAAC